TAGGAACGTTTAATATCCGTGCAATTAACACCACTAGTCTATAGACAAATCAAAACTTGATTTCCAGGCCCACTTCTTTCCATTGGAGAAAGAAAAGATAGAGTATGAATTACTCTCAAACTTGAAGAACAAGACATTATTAACTTCTCAACAATCCAACCTAACGTATCAAACAAGCCCAATCATTCAATTWGCTCCAACAGACATTAGAAATCGTGTTAGGTCTAATTCCTATTACTATTTTGTGGATTATTGCGAAACTTTTGTCGTAGTTTGGCGACCTAAGGGCGGACACAGTGGTATTGGTTCCGATTCGACAAAGGTAGAATGCTTGGTTGAAGGTCCATCCTTCCCCGTTCCTAGCTTAGCTCTCACAAACAAAAAGATTCTTCACTTGTAGCTCATCAAGTCAATGATCATTTTCAATCCAGATACTCCATTTCAAGCCACTCCATCTACTCATCCATCTTGTAGAGATAAATTGATTGCATTATATTGGAGTATTTACCACTCCAATGTTTTCTTGACTTTCCAACAAATTTGGGATCGGATTTGGACCAAGACCCTTTACGGGGCCCAGATCTATAATGTCAAGAAAATATTGGAGTGATACATACTCCAATATAATGCAATCAGTTTTAGTGTTGTGCAGAAAATCAACCGATCCAATTGAAACCGACTGATCCAATTAGAACCGATCGACCATAATTGGATATCCAATTGTAATTGGATCRGATCAGATTAAAAATTTCAACATCCAATTTGGATCGGTCGGTTCTCGGATGACAATCTAGAACCGACMAAAACCGGACCGATCAACATCCAAGTCCGATAACCATCCAGTTGTCCATCCAACCATTATCCAACTATCATCCAATTAAATTATTTTCAAATAGCTTAAATCGGAATTTGTTTTATGTGAAGCTTTGAATTTTTAACTTCCCTTGTGTTGGTTTTAACACATATTAAAAGTGATTAATTAATTTGTATCATTGTTAAAGAATTGGATTGAATTAACACACTGGATRGATCYAAYCCCATCGGATCATCCATTGGATATCCGATGTATTTCCAATAAAAGAATCCAATGGATGGAACCGAACCGATTCCATCATCAATTGGATCGGATTGGCAGCATCTAAGTAGTAAGCCCACCCCAAGATGAGTGGAATGAAAGAACAAAAATGGATTGGATCGGTTATCCAATGTTAATCGGATAGGATCGGTTGGCAAAATCCAACATCCAATGGACGATTAGATCGGTTCGGTTCCCCTCAACATCCAATGGATGTCAACCGATGATAGACAAGTAGATGGAGTGGTTGGCAATGGAGTATTCTGGATTGAAAATGACCATCGACTTAATGAGCTACAAGTAAAAAATCTTCTTGTTTCATACGATTTAGGGGTGATTAATGTTCTTATACCATCTTATCTCTTCAAAAAAAAACTAGTCGTGGTTGTCAATCAATGAAGTAGACTTATGCATGGAAATTGACCATTTAATTTATGAATTATATTAAGAATGTACAATGTATACAACTATACATTAGGACTCACAATTGTAATATGCAAAAGTTCATATTACAYACTTTTAGAAGAAAATGTGTAGATTGGGTTAAAAGGGCTGTAAAGAACTGCCACATTATGTAATATTCATAAGAACTATGTGATCAACAAAATCAAGAACTTCATTTGTCATTTTAAGTTTTTAGTACATGTATGGAGTACGAACTAACTACCGACAAATAGCATGTTTTTGTGTGATACTTCACAAAAAGTCAGTTGATTGATAATCTAAGATGGTTTAGTTCATTGTAAATTGGTTAGGGTAAGATGAATAATAGAGTTATATGAATTTCTAATTGAGATGCAAGCTACTAGTTTCACTTAGTATTTGGTTTGTGTTGAGCATGTCATAAGATTGGAATTCTTGCTATAGGTAATAATATAGGCACATAAAAACCATTCCTAGTTATGATTTTCAAGGGTTAATTATGTTGTTGAATAATATATATATTACTGTTGTTTTTTGTTCGATTGTGCACTTGGTGATCGAAAGTGTAAGAGCGAGGATGAAGTTGTGGTTGTCAATCAATGAAGTAGACTCCATGTTTGGTTTTAGGACTATGAGGTGATTTTGTTCCAATTCGGATTGACATATTTTATATGGTTCCAGCATATATCATTGAAACCTAGGTCTAACTAATGCACTTAAATTAAATTATAAGAGTACAACATTTSAGAAAGTTAGAATTATCATCCTTCTAGGATTGTTGCTATTCAACCATAAAGGGGGCGACTAGTTCATTTTAAAAAATAGAAATGGAAATGAGATTGAATATGTAGAGGAATGGTAATGGATATATTCATTACATTATTTTATATTGTTTTTCGTTATTTTGCAGTGTTTATGTTTGGTGTGGAAAAAACCATCTAATATTGAGTCATTGACCCACAAAAAGTTACTGCAAAATCACTCAAAAAAGTCAGTTCTTCATATTAGGGTTCTTTAAACCAACCATCAAACCTACCATCTCTTATGCATACACTCTAGAAGAAAAGACCATCCAACATTGACCCCAAAAAATTATTAGGGTTCTTCAAACCAATCATGAGACCCACCATGTCTTATACATACACTCTTTGAACCACCATAAAAACCAATCAATGGGCCATTCAAAAATTGGTTCTCTTAAAAGAAGGTTCATATTCACATACCATGTTATGTTACTCACAAAAAGGATTAAAACCCAAAGAGAACCCTTTGATGTAAGTAATGGTGTTGTCGGTTATCTTTAAGATATTTGAGAATTATTCAACTTGAGTTATGAGTACAAATGATTTTAGGAGCCGTGTGAGATGAAAGTCTCATGCCATAAATTGTTAAAGCTTCCCTTTACATTTTCCCTTTCGCTCGTAGTATGGGGAAGAAGTGGACTTTAGAAGCACTCCTAATTTAGTTGAGGAATGAAACGGTCAAGTAGTCATTTATTTGGTACCTCCCAAGGAGCAGGAACTGCCATTTTAAACTGAAAAAACGCTTCACTTCCTGACCTTATTCTCGCTGGAATTGAGATCTTATTCAAAGAGAAAGATCTCAAATATCTGGAGTCGTTTGGCACCTCGATGTCGACTCATCACATCCTGGGGTTGAAGGAAAAAACAAACTATAATTTGTAACTTGCTACGATTGAGCGGTTCATATCTTCTATCATCTCCGTAGAGGGTTATTTACTTATGCGGCTTTCTTGATTGCCTCTACATCAGGCAAATTTCCGTTGTTGCACAAGTGTAACTTTAGATATAAGAAACTTTAGATTTGAGTCTGCATCTGTTTGGTTAATGGTTGTATATTTGGAGCCAAATTTAAGGCCACCATTTTGTGATGAAATCAGTTACACGTTGCTGTCAAAAAGCAGCATATTGTTCAGTTCTCTAATTTCATGCCCTTTACAGCAGTATTTAGGACTGAAGTTCATCGTGCACTTGACTAATACATTAATAAAGGTCATAGCATTGGCCTTGCATTAATTTAAGATGGTTTTGGATGCAAAACACCGTTGTAACAATAGACAAAACTTAAGTTAGGGTTTTTACAGTCCAAAGATGCTTTTTGCATAAGTTCAAAGCTAGGATAAGGATAAGGATTAGGAACAAGGATTTGTACAAGCATATAGTTTACTAATCAAATAAGCTTCTTGAAGGAAGTGTTATCGAGGCCAATCCCAAAATGACAAAAATCAAGAAGACATGGTCAATACCGAATGGCAAAAAATTAAACCCTAAAACAGAGATAATACAAGAGAAGGGCGATTTTCAACTTACAAAAAAGAATTAAAGATCGATTACTACCTACAAGTTGATTATGCACATAGGACACAGTAGCAAAAGCATTAGAAACCGGCAAAAACTGCAGAAGCAATTACCAATTTAGCATAAGTGAAAATATGTAAGTAACGGCGATTTACTAGAAAGGCCGTTCACAGCATTCGGCGTTCAGACTTCGGCAGACAGCGGCAGTGAGGGCAGGGACAGGGGCGGATGTAATCGACTCATAGTCGCCGGCGGATGTGATTCACGACGGGAAGCGGCTGAATGATTTATCCCACTTCTATTAGGATTGGGCCCTAAACTTTGTCCATTTAAACCAAAATTGTCCCCAAAATTCATTTTATTCCAAATTTATTCCCCAAATCTGCAAATCTCTCCCATTAACGGTCGTTGTTTTTCCCTTTCTTTTTTCGGTAGATATTTTAAGTTTTTCATAGTTTATACGATGATAATTTGACGGTTTATTATGACAAATACTTAAATACACACTTTGAAAGCCAACTACAATTTTCTAAGAATCAATTTACCGAAGAAAGCTGTAGTTTAACCAAGTGCAATTCGTAGTAGAAAATGATGAGTCGCACTTTAAATAGAAGCTTAGTTCAGGTATAAATTAATAACCATATTTGGGTATCGTTTACATGATTTTGTTCCCGTGAGTTTTGTAGGAATTGATTTACATGATACCATATTGAGGCTTAATTTTGATTGTTGTTGTTTATCAATGACGGACATCTAAAATCTAAGTATAAATGTGTAAAAATGAAATTGAATTCTTCATGAATTTTACCAATTTTGGTGTAATGTCAGGTTTGCCTCTGTATGTGGCATCGCATGAAAAGCTTGCGAAAACAATTTAAAATCAACCAAAATGACATAAAAACGAGTTTCTGTCTGCTTTGTTCTAGGTTGAAGAGGGGAAATTGGATCAGGTTTTTTTTCAAACGGGTGGGTTGGGTACGGAATCGGGATTCGCACGTCTGTCTTGCGAGTCGTAGCTAGATCATGTAAAACTCGCGCTCTCTTGTTTCTCGATCTAGGCCAGATTGTTTTGTTGGGCCAAGATTTACATTTACACCTTGGGCTAAAAATTAATGGATCACCATGGTTTATTAAATGCGAAATAAAGATGTTGGGCTTTAAAATGCGTTTAACAATTTTATTTGGTAATTAGTTTATTTTAATTATTAAATATTGGTTTAAAGTAATTAGATGATATCATATAAATGTTTAATCTAATATTAGAAGGTATTCGTGCAATGCAGCGAGATACATATTCATTTTAATGTTTCTTTTTATTTTTTGTCTTTGTTGATATAATATGGTTTATGTAGTTTTGAGAAATATAATATTTTTACTTTTGAATAAAAATAAATTTGAAGACATCATAAACTTTTTAAAAATATATCGATATTAATATCAAATTAGTTATTTAAAAGTTCTTGTTTTTTATATAATTTATTTTTTTATTATAATTTAATTTAGGCCAAATAGTAAATTAATTTATTTTTGGCTTCACAATAAATTTTTATAAAGATAATGAATGATTCTGTTAGAACTCGGTAATTATCCTAATTATATTTTAGATTTTTTATATTTTAAAATGAGATGTTTATTCTTTATTTGATTATGTTTATCCGCAGTTAGTTACACGAATTCAAACATAAAGCTTTAATAAGTTATACTTGTGCATGATTTACTTGTAATCTTGAATTTTAAGTAATATGCATAAAAAATGGTTTTTAAGAATTTTTGTCAAATGCTTTATAATACAGTATAGATAGTTTATTTTATTCATACAAAAATGTTACAATTTAATTACGGTGTTTATGATTAAATAATAAGGAGAATGATCTGAAAAACAGAGTTAAAATGAGAAGTGTAAAAAAAGATCTGGATTTTTATTCACTTTTAATCTCAAACTTACCATAAAATTGTGTCGGATTGTTTAATACGCATTTATGACTATTATAAGATAAATCTGACAATTAGTAGTTGCTTTAGGAAAGACATCATCCAATGTGACTTTTCATTATTTTAAGAAACTTGTACACATGCAAAAGTGTAATATCTTATATTCATGCCCTTTATTTTATATACTTGTGGTTTGTGATGTATGTATATAGAGAGATTTGGGATCACGTGAGACTGGTCTATTTATTTGAGATTCGTGAGACCATTTTTTTACACTTAAACTTTACAACAAAATATTGTAAAGATAACCTTCACAATGTTTTTGTTGTGAATGTTCATTTTTTTTACTTTGACAGCGTTTTGCTGTGAATTTCAAGTGTAAAAAAACGGTCTCACGAAAACAGGTTGATCTTACGTGAACACAATCTTATTTTAATAATATAATTAATTGTGTAATCTTCAAAACAGAAAATCCATTGAAGATGAATGTAATTTTTTTTGGAGACTGACTTTTTACTTATCCATACTATATTATAAAACATTTGACAAAAACTTTTAAAAAAACAATTATTTATGTATAAATTATTGTTTATTGATGCATATTATTTAAAATTCAAGATTACAAGGAGAATGTGCATGTGTACATCTTATTAAAGGTCCATGTTTGAATTATTGTAACTAATTGTAGATAAACATAATCAAATACGTGATAAACATCATTTTGAATATAAAAAATCTAAATTATAATTAAGATAATCATTGAGTTATAACAGAATACTTAATTATTATCTTTAAAAATCATTTTATTAAACCAAAAATAAATTAGCTCGTTATTAAACATCAATTAAATTAGTTCGACCAATGCAAATTAGATGTTGAAATTTTCGGTCGATTCTAATTAGATTAGTCGATTTCAATTGGATCGGTTGATTTTCTAGACATCCATAATAACAATATTATTTCATGATGCTACTATATTATAAACAAAAATATGTAATTTATTTTTTAATTAATTATTGAAGTTTGTTAATCCATTCCACTAAACAATGCCATGATATTGTCTTCCACTCTCCATGTTTATTTTTCTTTCTATCCCTAATAATTAGGGGATATTGGTGATTTTTGGTTTATTCAAATAAATTTTGATTGTTGGGTTGGAGGTGGTTGATGGTGGCGGACTGGAGGTCAACCGCAGCGATTGTGATGGAGGTAGAAGTGGTGGCTGATGTGATTGAGGTGGAGCCGTAGAGGCATTATTTGATGGGCGGAGGTAGTGGTAGTCGAGGGTGGTGGTGGAGGTAGTCAACGACATTAGTGGTTGCGATGATAGTCGATAGTGACTACTAAAACAAATATCATATTAGGATTATCTCAAATGACGGTATTACTAATTTTTAGTTTTTATCTCATTTTTGTTAATTCCGTTCTACCTATTTCGGAACCAAAAAAACCCTTTTTGTCTCGCCCAATCCATGTCTTTGTCTCTGTTCCATGTCAAGTCAAACATAGAACAATGAGTTTTTGTTTTGTCCAATATCACAACAAATCATATATAGTTTCATGTACCAAACACAGTCTAAGGTGTTGTTTACCAAATACTTATCCGGATAAACGTTTACCAATTCATATTACTTTACCGGATGAATATGACAATGACCAAAAATCTTACTCGGTAAGAGCGAGACAAAGATCAAAAGTCTTACATGGTAAATAAAGATGGTCACTCTTACCATGGTAAGCGCTTACCGAATAAATAGTTGCATACGATGCCATTTTGATGGACTAAAATCTTACATAGTAAGTAAGTGATACTGTTAAATTTTACTGATAAACACTTACCGAATAAATATTTGTTAAATAACCCTTAACTTTTTCTTTGTTTCTTTTTAGGTAAAAAAAACGTGTTGGTTAAAAAGGTGAATACATGTTTTGATTAATGAATATTATCCGACGCAGGGTATGGTTGGGGAAAAGGCATTGGGTCCAGTACAGGGTGAGCCACAACCATTGACGTGACTTGACCTGACCCATCTGAGCTGACCTGACCTGACCCAACCTCACCTGACTCACTCCTCTAGATTCACCTACACACCTTCCATCCTCTTCACATTTTTTACTTCCCTACTAAAAAACAACCACCACAACCCTTTTTAACGAACGTATCTTTTGAAAATAAATGAAGTCCCATTTTTATATTTATATATTGGTGTTGTTGTATGTACGAATCTTGAAAAATCAATATATTATATGTTATTTTATATGATTTTTTTTATTTATAATTAAAATTTAATATAGTGATTAATATATATTAGTTTCATAATGTATTTGTTTTACACGTGTTCAGTTCACAACGTAAATCTTTTTGACATGTTTGTGAAACAAAAGTTATGCGTAAAAGAATTTCAGATTATGAATTGAATATATATGGAACAAACACATTTTAAAACATATATATGTTAATCAATACATTAAATATTATACTTAAATAATAAAAAATAATGTGAAACAAGACCTTGAGGTATAAGTTCTCATATATCTTATAAATTTTAGAGTTCTTAAATGATTAAACCTTAGTATATATGTATATACACGTATTTATATAAAAATAATGTCAAAAGATACATGTTTGTATGAACATAAACTAGTTTATTGAAACACTACTTATAGTAGGATTTTGATATTTATAATCATTTTTTTTTAATTATAACACTCATTAATATTAATTA